TTTCCCTCCCTTTCACCTCCTCCTTCGATATCACCAGCTCACGGTGGTGCCGCGGAATTTTATAGTCCGTTATTGGCCCCGCAAACCAAGCGGACGGTGCTGGCGACATCGGGCATATCGAGCCTCGGAAATCGCTCGACTAGCCCGAACTGAAGTCGCACGGCACCGACAACTGGTCGAACCGCGCGACCAACCGCGAAAGCGAAACCATAAGGGGATGGTGATTTCCATTTTCGGGTTTTGGAGCTAAGTTCGTTGGCAGAGGCAATGTTGTTGGGATTTTGTTCGTGAATAAGAAGTGTTTAGATCTGTCGGTGTTGTGATTGCGGAAGAGTACCCCGGGACCCTTAGTCTGGGATGCATTGCGCATGCTTTCTGCCTTATGCTGCACGGCATCTGCGGCTTTCGTTCTATGCACAAACCACGAGAGGTGGCCTACCTTCCTTCTTATAAAAATTGAAGCACCGAGTACGACGTGCATGTACCCTCTTGCGCTTTTACCCCCGAAACTTGCCAACAGGAGATCTCAGTTCAGACCTGGGACTCCACCCCCACTTTCCTAAAATCCTTGGCACACCCCTTTTTCGCACTTCCAGGCCCCCATCCCACTCCGATCAGGAAGTCGCCCCGGGCGTGAGGTTGGGCGTCACATACCTTGTATCCATTTCCCCCGCGACGATCACAGTTATGTAGGACTGTTCTCAAAGAGTATATTAGGACCACCTTGTTACTGTTTCGGCCTCTTGGGTCGAAAACTCCCGGTGACTGACATTCTCGTTATCGTTCTGGACGGTAATGGTAGGAGCGGCTAAGGAGCCTAAGGATGGGGGAGCGTGGTTAGTTGGAGGGAGCGTGGTTAGTTGGAGGTCTTCGGTGAGATGGACTGAATGGAGGTACTTATGGTGAGTGTCACAACATATTTCCGCAGTTCATTAACCTCCCTTACAACCTTGTTCCCGTTCATTCATCATCCATATCATACATTATTGAAAAACACATATGTTCCACTAAGAATAAGTAATCAAATAGATAGAGAACAATTAACACCCTTTGTGAATTCTGAAAAAGCTGATATAGCAGCTGCACATGAAGCCAAGAAACAAAAAGCGGTCTGGATGCTACTAGCATCCTCTCCTAGTGATCCTCGGTGAAGAGTATAGACCGTGATGAGAGCCGCAGCGGCCCACATCCCAAATCATGGCGTTTGCCACGGAGCCACAGTTTGGGCGGGGAAGACAGGTCAGGTTTGTGGCCGTCCCTACCAATCATCTCGGGATCATTGGTACAAAGGGCCCATGCCAAAACCTTTTCGTTTTTGGGCGCCCAAAGTTCGGAGAGCCCATTCGTTTCCAAATGGGGTACCACAGGCCCACTTGTTGGTCCAAGGGCCCTACCGGATTATGAATCTGGCCAATAAACAGTGCCAGATTCATTTTGATGTAGAAGAGGCCAAGGGTGTTACTGCTGTAGGATAGAATGAGGCCATGAACCGTATTTTGAAAAAGAAGGGCCCTACAGATTCATAAATCTGGCACAAGAAACAGCGCCAAATTCATGAACCGGTGAAAACAGGCCAAGGGAGCTGTGGCCATCGGCACGAAGGCCGGCCTTTCACCCAGGCTGAAGAGATTTGGGCCGGTAGTAAGCCCAAAACCGAAAAGGTTTTGGCATGGGTGCTTTCTACCAGTTATCCCGAGCGCCCAAAACCGAAAAGGTTTTGGCGTGGGCACTTTCTAGCAAGTTCCCATTAGCCATCTATCTCCTCCCTGTAGGTCTGACCCTTGGAAGTGGAAATATCTTGTTCCGATTCTTGGTGCCCAAACTGTTCCCTTTTGGCAAGAAGGGCCCCCGGGGCACAGAGGCCATCGGATGTTAAAATCTGAAGGCCGAGATTGGGTCCGGACCGTCTGGCCCCTTCCTACCGGACCATGCACCTGGCTCTGTATCTGACCCAGATTCATTTTCAGGTAGGCTGTTCTTGCCAAATGGGGAAAGTTACCAAAAAAGTTTCCGCATGCGCCCTTTCCACCATTTGTCCCCTTCCGGAGAGTCGCAGCAGCAGGGACTTCGACTTCATAGCTAGGAAACGTATAGGCGTTGAAAAAAGGCTCTTGAGCATATTCAAGTCCGTTGAGGAAATCATGGTTTTGTCATGTTCCCTCGTCCCTGTTTTAAGCTGTTTACCCTTTTTTTTTTTTTTTTTTTTTTTTGGTGTGTGTGTGTGTGTGTGTGTGTGTGTGAGAGAGAGAGAGAGAGAGAGAGAGAGAGAGAGAACGGCCATGATGCGCAGACACATCTTAGCAGCCAATTAGCGATAAGATGAACAGGAGGGCTAAGCCTACAGTCTTCCCCCGAATACAACGTACGGTCATTATAGCTGAATTTGGTGTATCTTTCTGTCTAAATTCAGCTACAATGACCGTGCGTTGTATTCGGGGGAAGACTGTAGTGCTGCATATGGGTTGGTGGTAGCCCTTCAGTCTTCACACGAATAGAACACAAAATCACTATTATAGCTGTATTTAGACCGAATCTTGCTCGTCTGACAAACTATAGCACAGTCCTGTAAGTGCGCGGAAAGATGCACCCAGCATAGTCTTTCCATAATCTGTGAGTGGTGCTGTGAGGGACGCCAGTGTAATCAGTACCTTGGCGAAAGTAGTCATGACCGTTGACCGTTGAGTAGATCAAATCTGAGGGAATTGCATTCAAGATAATTGATTGCAAAAAAAAAAAAAAAAAAAAAAGAAAAGATAATTGATTGCCCGCTTAGTTTGGAGGACTGTGTTATCGTCGCTCCCTGGGTGAATGGAGCCACGTTTTGTGAGTAGGTTCATTAGCTCATGAGGTTTGTCCACCCACCTGTACTTCGAACCAAGCCTCACACTTTTACCTTCACTACGACGCCTGATGTATCTAGTGGAAATCTCTACACTAGATTCGTTTTGCACTGTTTTCTACATCGAACTCTCCAGTCCCTTCTTGTTCGCTGCTCATCACGGTTGATTGCTTGTTGTCACTCCTGCTTCAATGCATCTGGGCTGATTTCGGACTAGGTGCATGCTGAATCTTTATTAATAACAAGACAGAAAATTCAGGTTCATGTTTGCTGGGGGAAGGGTAACTCGCCATGTTGCCAACGGAAAAGAAAGAAAGAAAGAAAGAAAGAAAGAAAGAAAGGTGAGCCACTGAGCCACGTGGTCACCAGTTCCTGGGCACCCACGGTAATGACGACGCTAAGCCTTTTCTCGACGTTTCCCTGTGACCAGCCCAGAATTTATGTAGGCGGTCTTTCTGGTCAGATACAGTCTTTCAATTTCCCCATCACCAGTAAGCCTCGCTTTTCCCTCTGGCCCTTTGACGCCATTTGTTCCTGATTAAATTTTGTCAGTTGTGTTCGTCTTCCCTCGTGACAGTATCGCACCGCAAATATCGTTTGCATGCATTACATTCATGGTCGGTTCTATCAAACACAACGCACGCTCACTGTGACTGTATGGGACCTCAAAGGTGGCCTGTATGCATTCAATCGAACACAACGCGCGCTCACTATGACTGTATGGGACCGTAAAGGTAGCCTATATGCGTTCACAAGCCGGAATGTGTGCTGGGCTGGGGTGAAGACGCTAATCATCCAATTGGATCGCTTTGCCATCACAGCAATGACATCCACGCTCGAGCTCTGCCCACAGTCCTTCCGGAGTCTGGAAGGTATCAGAGCGGAATCATAGCTTCAATACATTCACGATGATTCGATGAAGGTGTGTTTTACTTGCCCAAAGACTGTAGTGTTCTGTTTTGTTTCTTTTTTATATATTTTTTTCAGTTTGTTTCGTTTCCTCGCAGGCATATAGCACAATTATTTTTTTTTTTTTTTAATAACTGCATGCAGTTTTTTTTTTCTTCATCTTCTCAAACTCCTTTTTTTTTTCTTTTTTTTTTTAATTACACTCGTTTTCCACAGTCCCCCCTCCCCCACCCCTCGTGAGTACACAGCCACAAGTCCCAGAAGAGGGGAGCTCACACTGGTAGCCTTAAGTACAACAGAACTCTGTGAAAAAAAAAAAAACAATCTTTTGCTAGGCGGGTGGATGGATTGTAGTTCGTGCGGAAGCTGAAGTCTTTGTAAAAATAACAGACCACACTCTGTGAGTAACTTTGTGATGATTCAGAAGCCGATCATGAGTGAGGAAAACTTCACATTCCGTTACTGAGCACCTCGGTTGCCCCGTGTGGAAAAATTGCAGAATAGATCATCCAATACACACCCATCATGGGGGACAATAGCGGAGAACCTGAGCTTCGCCTGGTGCCCAAATTTGAGAGGAAGAAAAATGACATTTTGGCGAGTGGTTGTTACGAAAACCTTCTCATCAATCTGCATCCTGTTGAGCCTTGGGTCATATTCTCACCTGACTGTGAGTCCTTCAAGTGTGGAACTGTGACGATGGAACACAGGTTGCCTCCTGGACAATCCCTAACGTTGATGATGCCATTGAATCTCAATTCATCGCACAGAAAGACTGGATTGTGGTAACGAGATCGTATAGCTATGCTATACTTGACAGACAAGGTTCAAGCTTGCGATGGATAAAGGAGCTGACGGGGAAAACTGATAAGACGGCCACACGTTCAATAGCCATCCATCCAACCTTACCTTGTTTATTGGCTGGTTTTGACCAGGGAAGCATTTTGCAGTTGGACTGGGATCGAGAATGGAAAAAGGTTATACTAAAAAGCAGTTCTAAATGTGTACATCAATTGGAGTTTCATCCAACAGAATCACAGATCTTTGCAAGTGTTGAAGGTTGGAACACTCTTAACGTGTGGAACTTGGAGAAAGCGTGTGTCATCAAAACTCTGAAGGTTGGTGACCCAGAAGGTGTATATGAAATTGCATTTGGCAATGGGTTCCATAAGTCGCTTTTGATCTCATTTCATCACGAGGATGGAAAAGGTTGTCATCTATGTGTATGGGACTATAAGAGTGGAGTCTGCTTGGCAAAATGGAGGCCACACGACAAGTCGCCTACGTTAGCCATTTTTCATCCACACTTGCCTTATATCTTCACCGCAGCACCAGAGGGAGAAATAAGGGCCTGGAGCGACTCAAACTATCAGCAAGTCGCATCCTACTCCTGTCCATGGGATGGTGACGTTCGGAGAATGCATCTGTGTGCAAAGTCTAACCTGCTGGTCTTGGGAGGGCGTGGTGAGTTTCGCGTAGTGCAGGTAGTGACAAGAGGGGGAGAAATGGACAAGGAAGCAGTAAAGCAAAAAGGGTCTCTCGCCGCAAGACCAAGAATTGAGCCGGAAAACGAAGAAGCCAATGCTTTGTTGGAGCTTGAGAGGAAGATTGAGCACAGGGTGGCAAAGATTGAGCTAAACTGTGAGGAAATGATGAAAGAACTGAAAGCGGAGCATCAGGAAAGGATTACGAAACTGGAGATGGAGCTCGTCGAGAAAATCCGCTGGGCAGAAGCGGTCAGTGCACAAAAGCTGTCAGACGACGAATCTAGTAGAAGACATCTAGTGGACAGGATCTCCCTGTTGGAGTCGGAGAGGGACAAGCTGATAGACAAAGTTAGCAAACTAGAGCATCAGGGAATGCAGAGAATCCAAGCTGACAGGATTCATTTTCAGAAGCTGGAGGTGGAGCTGGAGAGAATTCAGGCAGAAGTGGTCAGTGCACAAAAGGTGTCTGACGCATCCAGAAGACATCTAGCGGACAAGATTTCTTCGTTGGAATCCGCGAGGGACAAGCTGACGGAGAAAGTAACCGAACTGGAGCAAAGATTCTCCAAAGAGGTCGCTCATCAGGACGGGACAGAAGTGTCTGTCAGACTCCAAGAATTTTCCTCGAAGGAACTCCAGGATGCGACAGACAATTTCGACGTGAAGCAGAAGTGTGAGGATGGGGATCCGCACGGCGATGTCTATACGGGGAAACTACGTGACGGCACACTTATCAAAGTCAAGAAGATCAGGAACACATCGAGTGCTATGCAGATCATGGAGCTCAGCAAGTTCAAGGATGATGTGGTGGATCGGTTGAGATTGCTACACCATCCCCATCTGGTGACGCCGCTAGGAGTCTGCTATGAGGAGAGTTGTTTGGTTTATGAGCACATGGCTCACGGAAATGTGAAGGACTGGATCGCACGTGGAGAAAACAGCACATCGAGAGGATCTCTGGCCTGGTATGCTCGCTTCCGCATCATGGCAGAGGTTGCCAGAGGCCTGTGCTTTCTCCATTCTTACCCATTGGCTTCTGGTGGTCCCATCATCCATACTACGGTCTGGCCAACGAACATCCTCCTTGACGACAATTTTGTGGCCAAGATGGGTGGCGTTGATCAGGCCCTGCTAGGCCCCCCAGAAACCGCCGAGAGAAACGCCTTTCCCCAATTTGTGACAGACAACCCACAATACATTGCCCCAGAGTACTGGCAGTCCAGAGTTTTTAACGAAACACGGATGTCTTCGCATTCGGCATCACTCTTTTAGAAATGCTGACGGGAAACTTCTCGAGTGCATTTGAAGTCATCGAGGACGCTATTGAAGACGACGTGGCTTTCAACCGTGCTCTCGATCCCCATGCAGGCTGTTGGGACGTTGATCTAGCTCGTGAAGTGGCAAGCTTGGGGTTGCGCTGCGCCAACTCGAACAGACGCAAACGGCCAGACATGACGACACCTGATATCGGAATCGTGGCCATTTTGGAGGGGGTTGCGAGGAAGGTGGAGCTTGCACAGGCAACTGATGATGCCTAAGCAATTTGGAGATGAGCTGCATTCCAGGATAGGCTCAGAATATCGAGCCTGCATCCTTCCCTTTGGCATTGAATGCTTTCAATATGCACATCACTTGATTTTAGGTGTCCATTTAATTTTGTGAGGACCTGCTGAATTAAAAGTGTCGGCATGTGAACTTATAATAGGAAATAGAAAAGCATCAGGTCCTGTATTTTCTTTGCTGGTGTTTGAGCCTGAAGTAACTGTTAATGTCTGTGGAGCATGAGACAGAGCGTGATGAACATTCTCACGTGGCCCGGTGAGATTTGTGGCTGCAGCAATTTTGTTGAAGATTCACAAAGTCTGGTCATTCATCATGATGATCATGTTTTTTCCAATGAAGTCGGAAACGATACATCGATAAATTAAATTAGTGTTGACTTTCTGTTCATACGTGGTAGGTTCATAACTGGTTATGAATACCACTGGAAGCCAGGCTTGAACTCCCATGTGCAGCTGTTGCCACTTGGCTTGTAGAGGTGACTCAGAGGCTGACCGTTGGAGAGTGAGAGAACAAGCAGCTCATGTTACAGTGGCTGACTGCCAGCAGTCTGCCGTCACTGCTGAGACTGTTGGTTTGTATAATATCCATTATTGTCTTATTCAGCACTGCGAGTGTTGGCCAGGACTAGAACTCCCACTGACATGAGTTCCTGCGATGCTACACAGGGTGGGTTTTGGGTTTTGGGTGGAGGAGTTTCACCACCAGTTTTTTGCACTGGATTGCCGAATATTCACAAGGGAGTCGGCGAGGACTTTGGTTTCCCGGAAAGGACCTCTCTCTCTCTCTCTCTCTCTCTCTCTCTCTCTCTCTCTCTCTCTCTCTCTCTCTCTCTCT